ATCACTGTATTCCTTCAGATTGATTTTTTTCCAACTTTCCAGTCTAGACTTCTCTCCTGGAATTTTCCTTCCAAGTAACAATAAGCGTTGTCTTTTCTTATCTTTTTAATGGGCACACACAACAATGCAACACTTGTCCTATTCAATGTTCCTAATCAGAGGCATCCACCTGACCCACTTTTATCATTTGTCCCCCACTTCCCACACTCTGCTTTTTCCAGTAGAAGACATCCCTAGTAGAAGAGATTGGACAATAATTTGTTTAAAATCATATAGGGATTTCTGTTTGAGCAGGGGGTTGGACTAGAAGACCTTGCAAATTCATTTCAATCCTTCTATTCCATTCCATTCCATTCCAAGTACTTTCTATCTCAAACTTTATTCTTGCTTGCAGTTGATGTGGAGATGATTTGCAAGCCAGAAAGGATTTCAGTTGTCAAGAGTGTCACCACTAATTATTCATATGCTTCTAATAAAAGATGTAGGATGATATTGCTGACTGGAGAGAAGGAGGTTATGACAGTCAACAAATTTAATTTAATTTAGGTTCAAGGCTCTTAGAATGAATGAGAAAGAGGAATTAGAAGGAACCAAGGACTGCTCAATCCTCAAGACTTCAGCTATGGGGATCTGCTTTTTTATTGAGCATAAGAGTTAAAATAGTATTTTACAGCCCAGTCTTTCACAGTAAGGGAGATGATCATTACTCCAGGTCAAGAGTAAATACATCAGGTCAAAGCAAATACAAATAAAGAGTAAATGATAAATACCAGATGGATTGTGGGACTAGTCATGTATCTATTTAAATTAAATCAATTTCTATAGTGTATATTTTAGGCTGATACCCTTAAGGTTTGGCACTCTTGTGAAGTTACAAGAGTTTTGTTTAATGTTTGAACAATTTGAAGGACCTAATCTATGATGAGTAAATGAAAACTCTTCTAAAATTGGATGACTCTGTATATTATACATTTTCAAGGATCAATCAACTTTTTGATCTCTCTTTGACAGGTTCTTATGATCTTATTTACATGTTTGTAGCTTCACTTTACATTGCAAGAGATCTGAAAATGTAACATCAATAGATGAATAAATTAGATACAAGATGTGCTTCTTCTTCCTACTCTTCCCAGTACTCTGGGTTCTAGCTCTCATTACTCTGAGGATAAAATAAATTATATACAGACATAAAATTAGTATTTCATGTAAGGATTTGTCATAGTAGGTTTTATTTTAATAGATTTTTACAAGACTTCTTATTTAGCTTAAATATTTGCCTCTTGTGACCCTGGATATTGTTCTTTAAAAAACTCATTTACAAATACTACCAGTGCACCTGTTTGGTTAAGTATATTAAGTATATAAAATATAGAATATTTTATAACCTGAGTGATGTTTCGAAGTTGACACTGAGTTGTAAAATGTATCTTCTTGCATCTTCTGTATGAGATACTAAACTTTTTTCACTAATGCAATTTAGTTAATGAAAAATATAATGAATAAGAAGGGTAGCAAAGATTTAGACCATTCTAAATCAAATTATAATAATTAAGAAGTCACTAGGTCAACTTCATGTGAATATTATTTGCTAATGAAAACTGGTTATGGTAGTTTTTTTGCCCCTTCAGTGAAATGAATTCTGATAGGAGTTTTAAAACAGACATGTACTAGCTCATTTAAATTTCAAGTTTAATTAAATAAATATTTATATTACCCAAACAATTTAAATATATAGTGAAATGTAAAGAGAAAGAGAATTTATAGAGAATCTATAAATGCAAATAACAGTGTTTTGGGAACATATTGATTAGATGATTTGATGAAATTAATTAATATAATTTAATATTATATGGCTGTAGCAAACCAAGTGATTATATACCCTATGCCATTATGCTATGGATAAAATCAAAGGAAGTAGAGGTGTAAATCAAAGGAAGTAGAAGTGTAATGGAAACTTAGAATGGGAACTAAAACTAATTTATTTTTGCATAGTTGGCTGTAAGTAAACAAACAAATGTTATTATGGTCACAATGGAAGAAACTAACTAGCCTTCCTGGTAGCCCCCAAGCTTGGTTGTTACTTGCAGGTGTTTCAGTACTCACTCTGTTACCTCGTTGGGCAATGAAACATCTGGAAACAAAGAACCAGGCTCAGGGAGCACAAAGAACTCTATGTTATGGTCATTTTAGCAAGATGTATATGTACATACAGGTAGTCTTCATTTAGGCACCACAATTGGGATAGGCTCTGCTTAACTCTGTCAAAGCAGTCACTAAGTAAAGCCCTAGCTGTGCTTAGGATCTTACAGCCATTGCTTTACAGACCTGGGTAGGTTGTAAATGCAAGGATTGGACATATTTTAAAAAAGATGAATTTTATTATGGCTTATTATAACATAAAGCACAATAATATTTTTTAAAAGGAATGAATGGGAAAAAGGGGGGGAGGAAGAAAAGAAACTGGTCATATACAATAGTTACTTTTTAGCACTGTCATAACTGAAAGGTCAGTGAACAAGTCAGTCAATAAATGAGGACTACACGTACTTCCTATGAAGCAAATATAACCAGAATGGGATAAAGTTTGGGGACACAGCAACTCATTATACAGAAATGACATCAGCTGAGGATCAGATAATAGGAATAGGAAGCATAGGATTTATAAATAAAAACAGTATTTAAAATGTTATAAACCCTAATCACTTTGTTTTCTGCTCTGTTTGGATCAATGTCATTCTATGCAAATGCTAAGCTACTTATGGAAGGAGAGCTATATTCTGCATTATATGCTGCATTTATTGATTTTAAGTCTGCATTGTTTCTAGAACAAAGGTGTTGGGCAAATTTAAAATAATGCTAAAATAGACAAATGTAATCTTCTGCTAATGTACAAACTCCATGTAAACTCTAGAATAGAAGTAGTGTGCAATGCTTTGCCCTAAAGGAATTCCAACTGAAAAAGGAATAAGATGAGGATGCATCTTGGTTTCCCTGATATTCTTTTTGCAAATCAACTCTGTTGTTACCAAAATAAGTAATTCAGAGCATCATCCTCAAAGTTAATCAATATGCATATTGCAACCTTACTGTCTACAGATAATGATTCAATACTCCTATTGCAAATGCCAATTGAATTAATATGAATGTTGAGAGCATTAGATTTAATGTTTTGAGGAAGCACTTGAGAACAATTATACTCAAAATAAATCCTTTTTGCGAAGTGACCTACAATATGTGCCTACATGTTAAATGATCAAACAATAAAGCAAGTTAAAATCTTTCATAGATTTTATATAAGTATAAAAGTATTATATAAGTAGGGTATAGTTTTTGAAAGGTCTGGGATGACCATTTGTCTTTTGTTCTGTTTTTGTATCCAGGGTTGTTCCATTTCTTTGCTTTGAAATCTGTATACCACGCAGAGTTGCTGAGAGGCTTTAGAAATTTGAATTACAAATAAATACAGTACATATTTTATGTTATACTTTTATACACTGTTGTTACGTTTCTCTCATCACTTCCTTTTTTATATCCCGAAAATTACCATCTAGAGTAACCTTCCTTCACAAGAACATTATTTTAATTCATCACCCTCCTCATTTTGATTGTCCTTTTATGCAATTTTCCCATTTTACAATACTGTATTCTTTCCTTAGTTACTATTTCTAGTCTGACAACAGTATGACTCATGTTAGCTTCGGCGTTTCATTTCAAATTAAATCTAAAGTCCCATCACTTCTGATTTATTCCATTTCCAACCATGAAAGGCACATTTATTTGAGAATGTTACTTTAAAAGAGTGTCTGTGTGACTCAAAGCATAGGCAAAAATATCCAGGGCAAATTGGAGTGTGTATGTGTACGTAATTGAAAGACCCAGCTCTCTGGAACAGGCTCTAATGCTGGGAAGGAAAGAGAAGCTGACCACCAGCAGCATGGATGGACATAGTGACAGTGCTGATGGGTGCACTGTTACAAGACCTGAAAGAGCAGGTTAGGGAGAGATCAAACAAAATATGGTTACAAAAAGCTGACACCAACTTGATGCACATTAATAAACGTGCATGTGTGCATGGATGAGAGAAAGAAAAAAAGATGGACCCAGTTCCACATATTATTTTCCTTCAGAAGGCAACTTGAAGGCTGAGGAATTTGGAGCTTCAGATACTAAGCCAAGTCCTGTTGGAAAACCGAGGAAGATTCCATTATTCCTGACTCTGATGTTGAAGGTTTGAACCAGGAAGTAAAGGCAAGACATCCTGGAGTGGGGCGGGGCTGAACTAGTAGAGGGCCAGAGTATGACAAAATGTGGAAGACCTTTGATGAGAGCTGAAGTTTGATCTTATCTTCCTTCCTATTTAAAATCTACATGCTAAAATGCACAATCTGCAGGTCCTCTTGGACTCACAGTTCCTGCTGGAAGAGCAGGTGGCAGTTGTGACTTTCAGGTTAAATGCCAGTAGCAGTCATTCCTGAACTGAGACACCTTGTTCAATGTCATTCATGCCCTTGTGATCTGTCTGGATTTCTACAATTAATGGGATGCATCTCCAACAGAAGTGAAGCTTCAAGCTGGGAAATGTCTAATTTATGTTAACCAACTTCTATCAGTTTTCATTCCATCTTCCGAGAGAGTCATTTATTTTTCAAAATATTTCAGTTGCACTGATCAATTAAAATCTTTGTAACAGAAATGTTTATAACACTTCATATCTCAGTAGATCACTACATTAAACAAACAAAAATGTCCATAATTTGTATGGAAGCAACTTATTTCCTTGACCTTTTCCACATATGATACCTAAACAAACTAGCCATTTTTTCATATAATGAATAAAGCCCAATTATTTCTTGATATGTTTAATATATATAATTGATGCTCATTACATAGCTTCTGAGAAAGCCTACATCTTGTTAAAATATTTACAAAGATCCACTATCTCCAAATAAACAACACATGTAGGTTAGGTAATCTAGCCTTTTCACTTTCATATTACAAACCTTAATTTATTTGTTCCAGCTTTGTACCTCGAAATTCGAGCCATTGATAGAGGAACTGATAAGGTATCCAGCCAACGCTTCTCATATTTTGGTTCATTAGCTGTGGGTGAAGAAGGTGATGATGGTGCCTGACCAGAATAAATAAAAAGTAACAGTAAATACAGATCTCATTATGTAAAAAACACAAATATTTGTATGTGGATATGCAATTTTTTGGGGTGAATAGAACACAAGTAATAACTGTTTAGAAAATTTAGATTGCGTAGAAGAAATAACAATTTCTTTGATCATGAAATATTGATGGGTCATTTCTCTCTATTTGATGCACAATAGTGCTGTTTTATTTTTGTTAAATACATAAACCGTACACCTAATTGGAAAGCCGTTTTATTCTCAATATCTTATTTACTTCATAAGCATGACAATGATTGCAAAATTTTAACTTGCTTTTTTCAATATTTGCAAAAATAGAACGAAAATGTGCATAACATATATTGATGTAGTTGATCTTGAAAAAGTTAAGCAGATTCCAGTTTGGTTAGTGGCTGGTTGGAGACCTGGAAATCCCAGGGCTGAAGTCTAGATTGGGAAGTTGAAAAAAGAAGAGAACAATGGCAAACTGTGTCCATGTTTTTGCCAACAAAATAATATAGATACATTGAGGTAATCACCAGTAGTTGAATATTAATATTACTTGACATAGGTATGACTTTATTCTCTCTCTCCCTCTGTGTGTGTGTGTTTGATTTTTATTGGTTTTCTTTTGGAGTGGATGGGAAGGTAGAGTAAGGAACATGATGCAGCATTAGTATTCCACTGCTAAGACTTGCTTCATTTCCTACATAACAAGTGAATAAGCATACTTCAGAAAACTTGCAGAAAATAACCCTTTTCAATGAATGATTCCTGTTTTCTTAAGTGTTTGTAATGGAGATCAGTTTGAAAAGCTGTACTCTGCTCTTCTTTTTTCTTGAAGCTATGAAGGATTGCAAGGATTTTTTTTTAAAACATACATCTAAGAAAGAGTAAGTGGTTAATTTAAGGTGTTCTCTTATTAGCCACTGAAGAATCAACAAGGTACACAATAAAAACAAGAAATAATTTTGGTTAGGGATTTTAAAAGCCCCAAAGAGAAGAAACCAATAGGCAGGCTTTTCATAAATGTATGAAAAACACCACCTTAATAATCAATCATACCAATATTAAAATTAAAGGATTGAGTTGCAGTCTTTCATTACAGAACATGAAAAATGTCAGATAAGATCTTTGAAGTTTCAAACAAAACTGTGATAGATTATAATAGTGAACAATTATAACTCACTGGGTCTGGGAAATAGCATCTTTAATAGGATACAGAGAAAAAAATATCCTTAGCTGAACAAAATTCTGGTTTATCCGCCATCAAGCCTCTTTTTCTGAAACAGATCAATACCAAATGTCCAACTTTCTCCTTTTCTTTGTTCTGTCAAGTCTCCTTTCACACTGTTTTGTGTTATTCAGCATTGTACTCTTTACACTTTGAAGTACGCCTTTAGAATTAGGCCTTTAATACTATACACCAAATGTGTACTATCCTCTCCACTGTTACAACAATTTTCTTCTTGAGACCCCTGCTTTCCAAAACACTGTCAGTATAACTTAGTAGCACCCTGAACAAAATTAACCGTATTAACCTAATCTTCTATTCTTTTATTCTTGGACTGCAACCATAAATCTTAAAGATTATTTAGTAATGCTTATCCTCTTTGATTCCAACCTTGTTCATGTCCCATTGCTACCTTCTCTTTCTATAAATGGAAAGAGCAACTTTCTATGATGCATTTCAACTCTAAGCCAAAGGCCTATATGTACACTATGGATATAAACATCTGTCTCAGATATATCAAGGCATGTGGTATCATGCTAAATAAATTCAATTCAGAATGAGGATAAGGCATTCAGGTAATTCTTGAGAAACAGCAGGCCATTTAATGACCATGCCAAACAACAACGGACACCCCAAAACTACAACCTGTTTCAAAGTTATGACAGATTCGGTGCTCCTGAGCTCATTCACATTTATGACAGATCATGGGGATGCTGCCGTGCCTGTCTTCTCCCTTCAACCCTCTGCAGCATTTAGGTTTCCCACCCCTCCCATGCCTTCCAGGATCCCTGAAACAGCAGCTGCTTTCTGCATCTACCAGCTGGCCCCAAGCAGGAGGCTGCAAAGCTCTCCTCCATCTCTCTAGGCTTTGGGTAGCTTGCATAAAAGGCAGCTTCATGACCAACTTCCCAAAACCTTTCCCTTGCTTAATCTCCTCCCTCCTCCAGCCACATTTCTTCAATAAAATAAAACCAAAAAAAGCTGAAAGGGAAGAATCGATCTCCCTCACTCCAGCCCCTATTAGGTGGTAAAGCTAAATTTGCCCTCTGCCCTCCAACCAATATCCCTTTTAAAAATCTTACCTTGACTCCAGGCTGAAGAGAAGAGGAACCAAGCGAGCAAGAAGAGAAAAATCTTTCTGCAGCTTTCCCCGCCCCAGGAAGTAAAAAGAAAAAAAAAATCCCTAAAAGTTGGGCCAGAAAATTAAGGACTCTGGGTCTTCCCAAGCTTTAGATCTGCCTGACTGCCTGCAGAGGCCAGTTAGGACTTAAAATACTAGACCAATAATGGCTAACCTTTTCGTCGTCACGTGCTGAAAGTGTGCATGCATGTGCACGCACACATGTGCCTGCACCCATAATGCAATGCGCGCATGACCATCCCCACCCCCTGCGCATGTGCATGCAACCCCTCCCATGCGCCATGTGCCTCTGTACATGCACGCATGACCCTCCCGTGCAGCCCTCCCCTGCGCATATGAGCGTGTCTCCCTTGCACATGTCTTTCCCCATTCATGCGTGGCAGATACCCGACAATCAGCTGGCTGGCGGGGGGCGCACATGCATGCGCAGTGGCTCTGTTCCGGGCAATGGCTCGCGTGCCAGCAGAAATGGCTCTGTGTGCCACTGCTGGCACGCGTGCCATAGGTTCGCCATCACAGGACTAGACTGTAGACTGCCCTCTTCAGACAGTCAAACACACAGCAAAAGCCTGCAAAGTTCCCAAATCCTCCATTTTCTGGCCAATTTGTAGAAATGACTTATTTTTTTTAACTTCAGGGGGCTGCGGAAATATTTTCTCCCCTTGCTTGCTTGTTCCTCTAGTCTTCAGCCTGGAGTCCAGGTAAGTTTTTTTAAAAGGGGCAACTAGTTGAAGAACAGAGTGAGAGTTTAGTTTTACCACTTACTGGTAATTGAGTGGGAGAGTTCTACAATGTTTTTTTTTTTAAAATTGAAGAAATGTGGCTGGGGAGAAGGAGGAGATTAAACAAGGGAAAGGTTTTGAGAAGCTGGTTGTGAAGCTGCCTTTTATGCAAGGGGTGACTTCTCAAAACCTAGAGAGGCAGGAGAGCTTTGCAGCCTCCCGCTGGCCAGCTGATAGGCACAGAAACTTAGGCTTAGGGATTGCTGGCAAGACAATCAGCTGTGCCAAGGCTGTCTTGAAAGTCATCCAGAGGGTGGGAAGCATGGCATATATCTCATGGTGGGGGATCCTGAGGCAGCTGGGCTAGTGCTTGCCTTAGGCCTCCCAGACACTCCCCACTTAATGACCCTTAACAATTCACTAGCGTGAACAGGGATGGCTGTTTTTTTTCATGAGGCAATTTCATTTAACATTATTTTGACTTATGACCCAGATGGGCAGACTCCCTTATTGTTGTAACTGAAAGACTATCTTATGGTCTGTGATCAAACAGTAAAAGCTGCACTTTTCCATTGGTAATTACTAGTCCCTGGCAACATAACCTCACAGTAACTAGAAGAATCATGTAACATTTGCTGCTCTTTCATTACAAACTAATTTACATATGAGAGGCAGCTGCTTTACTTGGCCTAACTGTTGAGCCAAGCTTGCACCTCACAGTGTGTTCAATAGACAATGCTACTTCGCTATATAAATGCCCTTCCCTCACTTAACAAATCGATTCATGTGAGCAACACACCCACACAAATGGAAGGAGGGAGGGAGGGAGAGAATTTTTTTTATAGCAGGGGAAATAATAATATTTTGGTTAGAAAATGGGAAAAAAGAACCCATATGCCCAAAATTGGAATATCAATCTGTTGCCTCCAGAATAGGACAGAATAAGTTTGGAGCCCGGACATTATATTGGTGGATGTATTAGGAAGGGATGATCAAGGAACCAAGTTTTGGTCTTACTGTTTTGGGGGTTTTAATCAGCCACCCAGAGTTGTGGTACATAAGACAGGTGGCCGTACACATTTTAACTAAAGAAATAAAATAAGCAAATATAACAATATTTGAGATGCCTTTATTATAAACATTAAATATTTAAAAAAAATGGATGACTCAAAAAAAAATAACTTGTCATTTCTTGAACTAAAAAAATTCTATCAAGGTGATTACTACAACAATCAGCCGATGTAGAAACATATTGGTACTGTAAATTCCGAGTGTTAATTTTATGCAACTGTTAGTAAGCATTGAACTTTCTGTTCTTTCACCCCACAGAACTGAACAACTTGGTACAGAGGCCCATTTAATGTGCTTTAATATCAGAAATGTCATTATCATTATTGGCTTCATGTATGGAATGCTTGCATGGGGAAAAAATCCCTATCATTTTCAAATATATTTTAACGTTATTGTTATTCTGAAATGTTTAATCTTTGCAATGATCTGTGGCAAGTCTTTCTTCCCACTTACTGTTGGTTTAGTTTTAACACTATTATGTAGAATATTTTTAGAAATCTGTAGTTTATTATGTAAGAATGCTATCTTCCATTTATTTACAATTATGATAGTTTCATATTAAAAAAACCTACAGAAAAACCTTGCAAAGTGCCTTGTAAAATTCTGGATACAATAGTAAACATATATATTAGGTATGTATTAATATAGCAATAGAAATAGCACTTAGACTTATATATTACTTTACAATGCTTTTACAGCCCTCCCTAAGCAATTTACAGAGGCAGCATATTGCCCCAACAACAATATGGGTCCTCATTTTACCCACCTTGGAAGGATGAAAGGTTGAGTCAACCTTGAGCCTGGTGAGATTTGAACTGCAAATTGTAGTCAGCCGCCAGGCAGCAGAAGTAGCCTGCAGTACTGCACTCTAAACACCACGCCACTGTAGCTCATATAAGTGACCAAGTAATCATAGGCATAAAAAATCCTGCTTCTAGAAAAATTCTGCCCACACATTTTCATGCCTGGATGCCCTATGTTTACTGGGAATGTCTGCAACAATGGGGAGTTGTGTTTGATCGAATACATTTGCACTATTTTCTACAATATGATTAATAGGGCACCACATGGAAATTAAATGTGCACAAATGTCTCAAGAATTTTTAAGAGATGTGTAGGATCATATGCAGTAGAACAGTTATATACTGACTTTCCATTAGCTGTACTGATAATACTTATTTGATAAAAAAAAATAGACGAATCTGCATTAATTGTCCCTCTCTCCCTGAAACACATCTAATAATTTGGTATGTGAAGGTCCATCTAAACCAAAGCCTACAGGTTTTGTTCGGCTTAATGCCTTAACTTTATTACTTATAAATTTAGTATGTAAACATTGGACTTTAAAGTTATCTATAACATCCAGTAGTAAATAAAACTATTTTTAAAAATCTGATGGGCTTCAAATTTATATTAAAACATTAGCAAAAATTGAAAAAGAAATTAAAGATTGTATGTTCTTTGTATGATTTTAAAATTCCTTGGTTATATTGTTTTTCCTGAAACTATTTAATTATTTATTCCAATCAACATGGTTGAAAGGTGAAATATTTGCAGAAGTATATCACGTAAGTGAACAAACATTTCATTCAAACAATATTGTAGACATAAACCATCTTCAATATTACTGTCTGTTCTTGATAATGCTTTTAAATAACAGCATTTCTACTGATAATGCAATAACTGTTTTGCAGTACTATAAAATAATTTTCATCACACTGACAGACTTTTGGAAATATATTCTGACAATTTTTGTGAGTAAATATCTAATTGCAAGATTGCTCTGAAAATTTGTGCTGATAGGTGGGTTTCTAGATTATCTGTATTGTATTGTGCACTTAATTCTAACAAATAAAATGATGGAGAGTTTAATATTAAGTTAATTTAGCTTGAGACCAAAAGCCTTATTATTAAAAAATATCCTGAGATATGCTTTTCCTTTATTTTCCTTCATTTCCAAAGCTATATTTAATTTGAAAGAAAAGTTTAAATAATCATATTGCTTGAAATATAAATTTCCCAAACTATAATTAAAGTGACAGAATATTGATAGAATATTCACTTATCTATGCTCATTATTCTAAGGTGACTAAATAACAACATTAATATATTACAAGTTGTACTAAAATAATCTACTATATTAAAACTGAGAAGATGGTCTATATTATTAGATTTAATAACATGTTAAAATATTTAAGTATTTCTATAATATACTTTATGGCTATAGCTTTAGTTTCTTCATATATCTCTTCTTTAAATCACTACTTTTTATTGCTTTTGATTACATTAGCAATATTTTAGTTGTCTTCCATTGTATCTTCTAGTTGTTATGCTTTACTAATAAAATATTTAAATGTTAAAAAGTACTCAAACTGTGTCTGATGATCAAACTATATTAAACATTAACTAAAAGTATTTATTATATACTATTTTAAATTAGTACAGTGAAGTAGTTTGAAAATAATTTAGCAGTTTTCTCCCTGTTGTGGGAAAGCAATAACTCAGCTGCATGCAATAGTTTTCTCAACCAATTTTTTGAAGTGCAGGATTATTTAATTAAATATCCATATTTTTTAACTTCAAATACAAAAAAACCTGTCTGATCTAATAGACATCAGCGTCATACTCTAGAAACTCTTGTAATGTGGGGTGAAGTAATTGCTTTGCTTTTATCTTCAATTTTAGAAGTAGAATATATTTCTGTCTTGTTTCTAAAACAATTTTCTATTTTTCTCTTATATTTTCTGGGTCTTTACAAACTCATTTCTCTCTCTCTCTCTCTCTCTCTCTCTCTATCTCTATCTATCTATCTATCTATCTATCTATCTATCTATCTATCTATCTATCTATT